TCTCTCTCTCTCTCTCTCTCTCTCTCTCTGTGCGTGTGTCTGTTTGCGTGGAGAATGAATGAATAAGTAGTGTGTGGCCTCATGATGTGTGGATGACCAGAAGGCAGTCAACAGCAGAAGAACAATAAAACCGAACAAACAGAACAGACAAGCAGCGATTGAGTGAGTGAGTGAGTGACACAACTTCCTGCGAGGGTGATAATAATATTGATAATTGTTGTAGCAGTGACTCGTAGTGGTGGCGGCAGTAGATGGGCTTGGCGCGGGCACACCACAGCGTGAACGACACGCTCATCGAGCTATTTTTTTTTCTCTTTTACCCACGCAGCCAGAATGACTGAGGCACAGGACCGTAAAAAGGGGGAAGAAAACCAGAATCAAGCACAACTGAAGGAAGATGACCTTTCCATATCCCAACATTTCTCGTAAAACGCGTGTGGGTGTGGAGGGAGACGCACGTAGGACGACCGTCTTCAGTAATCTTACTTGCGTTTCAATCGCACGCGCTTTATCACTTAGCTTCGCACGGCCTCCATATATATATATATNATCTTACTTGCGTTTCAATCGCACGCGCTTTATCACTTAGCTTCGCACGGCCTCCATATATATATATATATTGATTTTCATTTCACTAATATCTGTATTTCTTGTTAATTTCCCGCACCTGTGTGAGTGTGTCTTCTGCCATCATCATGATCACCATTATTGTCTCGGCCCCACTCCGTTGCTGCCTCGGAGTTTACACGGACATTATACAGATACATACATATATAATGTCTGTGTATATGGGTCGAGGGACATACAGGGAGTTAGCAAGAGTGCAGTGGCTGTGTTCTGCACACTGTTACTGCTGCCACTCTCGCCATGCATTGTCAAATAAAAAGAGTGTGCAAAGACAGGAGAAAAACGCCACTTCACTTCACTGCTGCTGTTAATATTGATGTTTGTATTTTTTTTCGCTTTGATTGAGTATCTTCTGCTTCCTCGCGGAGCGAAACGAAAGGACACAGCGTACCTGTGTGCGAGGGTGCAGGATATTGGAATAAATGAAGAAAATGAATCAAGTAAAAAAAAAAAAAAATGAGTTCGGCGACTTTTGTTCCCGCACAGACACACCCATACATATACATCCATACATAGATACGATTTCTCATTCACACTGCGTGCACACTCACATATATGTGTGTGTGTGTGTG